TAAATGAGAATGAAGAGCCTAATGTGCATGCCAAAAGGTTCTATGACTTATTAAAGGATGCAGAGACAGAACTTTATCCAGGTTGTGAGAAGATGTCAAAATTGTCTTTTATTGTAAAATTGCTTCAATTAAAGTGTCTTAACCATTGGAGCAATATATCTATGGATGCATTGTTGGCCCTATTGAAAGATGTTCTTCCAGAAGGGGCTTTAGTGTCAAACTCATTCTATGAAGCTAAGAAGATAATTCGTGATTTGGGTTTAGATTACAATAAAATTGATGCTTGTGGAAATTATTGCATATTATACTGGGGGGAACATGCAAATGAAGAATCATGTCCTAAGTGCAAGATACCTAGATGGAAGTTGAATAGGCAAAAAGGAAAAAAAATTGCCCAGAAAGTCTTAAGGCATTTTCCAATAACACCTAGGTTATAAAGGCTTTATATGGCAAGAGACACTACTAAAGAAATGAGGTGGCATAAGGAGAAGCACACAAATGATTGTGTATTGAGACATCCAGCTGACTCTCTTGCTTGGCAACACTTTGACCAACAATACCCTAGCTTTTCTACTGATCTAAGAAGTGTTAGATTAGGTTTGGCAAGTGATGGATTTCAACCTTTTGGGAATATAAGTGCCAATCATAGCATTTGGCCTGTAGCTTTTGTACCATATAATTTGCCACCATAGCTTTGCATGAAAAGCCCATACTTTATGATGACACTTCTTATTCCTGGTCCAAAGTGTCCAGGTAATGAAATAGATGTTTACTTACAACCAATGATTGAGGAGCTAAAACAATTGTGGGAAGTAGGGGTACAAACATATGATGCATTTTCTCAATCAAATTTTATTATGTATGCAGCAGTGTTGTGGACAATAAACGATTTTCCCGCATATGAAAATCTTTTAGGATGGTCAACTAAAGTCAAGTTTGCATGCCCTTGTTGTCACAAAGACACACATTGCATTTCATTAAGGAGCAAGTTATCTTATATGGGTCATAGGCGCTTTCTTCCACAAAATCACCCATGGCGCAAAGATGCAAACTCATTTGATGGAAAAGAAGAACTCAGAGCTCCACCAATTCCATTAACTGGAGATGAAGCACTTATGCAATTAGAACAATTGGGTAATATATCATTTGGAAAAGACCAAAAACAAAAGCGCCCTACAGATAGTAAGGCTTATAATTGGAGGAAAAGAAGCATTTTTTTCCAATTGCCTTATTGGAAAAATTTATTGATACGATATAATCTTGATGTGATGCATATAGAAAGAAATGTTTCTGATAATCTTGTATCGACAGTGATGGATTTACTTGGAAAGACAAAGGACACATTAAAAAGTAGGTATGATCTGGTGGATTTGGGTATTAGGAGTAATTTGTACCTAATTAAAAATGGTAATGATGTTTATAAGCCTCCTGCTCCTTATACATTATCCTCTGAAAAGAAACAATCCCTTTGCAAATTCTTGGCTAACTTAAAAGTATCTGATGCTTTTACATCTAATATCTCAAGGTGTGTCAACATTCACGAGCGAAAAATATTTGGTTTGAAGTGTCATGATCACCATGTGCTATTACAGGAAATATTTCCAATTGCAATACGTGGATTACTGCGTCCCTGAGTATGTGAACCAATAATACAATTGGGAAGATTTTTTAAAAATCTTTGTTCAAAGTGTTTAACATGTGAAGAACTTGACAAACTTCAAAGTCAAATAGAAATAACTTTGTGCAAGTTAGAGACCATATTCCCACCTGCCTTTTTTGACGTAATGGTTCACTTGCCTATACACTTGGCGGGAGAGGCAAAAGTTGGTGGGCCAGTTCAGTATCGTTGGATGTACCCCATAGAAAGGTAATTTTCTTTAATAAGGTTACTTTACAATTATATTTATAATCTATCATTTAAAACCATTCAATAAGGCTCGGCTTTTGGTTGTAGGTATTTGCGAACTCTCAAGTCATATGTTGGCAATAAGGCCCAACCTAAAGGATCAATTGCAGAAGGATATTTGGCAGATGAAAGTCTAACTTTTTGTTCACGATACTTGAAAGACATTCCTACTAAATTTAATGTGCAGCATCAGAATGATGACATTAATGATAATAATATCAGTAATGAGCTTTCAGTGTTCAAGAAAAGTGGTGAACCTAAAGGACATTTTGAGTCAGTCTCTCTTTCTTATGAAGAGTATTGTCAGGCAAGAATGTCTGTGCTACAAAATTGTGAAGAAACTTGGCCATTCATAGAGTACGTCAACTTAACTTAACAAGAATGAATTTGTTATAATTTATATTTTTCTCACTTGTGTAAAAACATGTAGGGAACATAGGAGAGAACTTGAAGCTCGGGGATTAATGAGTGAGCAAGAGCAATATAAAGAGTTTCCTAATTGGTTTCATTCACGGGTAAGTTCTAGACTTTGAGCTTTGAAGTTTATATTAATAATATTAATGCATATTTAAGGAATGGTTCTTCTTTAATAGGTGATAACATTGTCCACACAAGGCTTTATAAGTCCTGAACTCAAAAGTTTATCAATTGGTCCATCGAGAGTGGTCAATCGTTACTCTATGTTTATAGGCAATAGATTTCGCTTTCATGCAAAAGATCAGGCAATAGGAAAAATAACTCAAAATGATGGAGTCATGGCCAAGGGTGATGACACTAATGCTAATAAAGAATATTATGGTGTGTTAGAGAATATTTATGAGTTATCTTACATAGAGAATAAAAAATTATACTTGTTTAAGTGTCACTGGTGGGATGTCGCTAACTATGGCAAAGGATATAAGGTGGATAAGTATGGGTTCACAAGTATCAACACTCAATGTTCATTACAAACTAATGAACCATTTATTTTAGCATCTCAAGAAGAGCAAGTTTTTTATGTGGATGATATTGTTGAATCGAGTTGGATTGTTGTTGTCAAAACGAATCCACGTGACTTGTTCAATATGCCAATTGAGAATGTTAATGTTGGTAGTGGTATTAATATTGCAATGGTTGATGAAGAGCCTTATCAACAATTGGTGGTTGATTTAAATGCAAGTCTTATACATCATGATATCTTTATTGACTTGTGTGGAGATGATGTACAACCCCAAACCTTTATTCAAGTAGGAGAACCATCACAAAGAAGTAATATTCATACTATGGAGACTGGATTTATTGATGATAGTGAATCTAATTCACTAGTTCATGAAGATAGTGATGAAGAAGATGTGCTTGATGGTAATGATAGTGATACTGAAGAAGAAAGTGACATTGAAGGTGAAATAGAAGATGATGATACAAGTGACAGTACCACAAAGGACTCAACAGAATGAAACTACAATCCTTATAAATGGTAGTTTTTACTAATATATTCTTGACAAGTTAGATTTTGTAATTTTTGTTAATATGTACTATCTTCATAAAGAGTAGTTTTATTAACATAAAAAACAATCTAAATTTTGTACATTATTGCAGGATATGTCAAGGCTAAAGAGAGGACGAGGTGGGAGAAGCTCTTCCTTCACACAACATGGCAGCACAAGTAGTGGAGGTATTAGCTCTACCCTTGCAATTATACATATCATTTCACCTCGACCGCTCCAAGTACAATTTGAGGAATTGCCTGTCGACTCTCCCCCTACTCAAAACAGTAGTGTAGGTAAATTTTCTTTACTTTTATATAATACAAGTAACTAATTAGCATCACATACTTTTGACTGTATTATTTGTTCACCTGAATGATAGGCTCTTCTAATATAATTAAGAAAGGTAGAGGAGTTTATAAGTCGCTCAATGTGGACTTAATGACTAAATTTGGAGGAAAGATTGAGCTTACTTTCACAGATGACATGACAAGAGCAGTAGGGCGAGGAGCAAGAGAGCTAGCTAATTATTGTGGTTATGTTATTAGAACCACAATATCTTTGAAGGATTGTGCTGAATGGAAGAATGTTTACACAAATTATATTGATGTCATGATTTTAAAAGTGAAGGTACAATTTATGTTTAGTAAATATATATCTTGGTTTATTTATGCTTTCAAAACAAGTACTTATGCTGATATTGATTTTTATTTTAGGAAAAATTTCAACATGCTGTTGCAACAGATGAAGAGAAGTTCCAAAAAATGATAGTGACTACATTGCAAAATGCTTTTAGAAATTGGAAGACCAACTTGCATACCCACTATAAGAAATTTGACACTGATGAAGAAAGGTTGGCAAATCCACCTCAAACTGTAAGTTTTGAAGATTGGGAGTGGTTATTGACATATTTTCAGTCAGATCCATTTAAGGTATCTTACTAAATACTAACTATTTAAATGGATAATATAATTATATCATTCAACATACTTAGTACTTACTCAAATTTGATGTAGAACAGAAGTGCTAGAAACACACAAAACCGAGCAAAACAAGTAACAAAGCATACATGTGGTCCCTGATCATTTGCGGTGGTTGAGTTCTCTGTAGTAAGTTGCCTCTTCACTGCACTTTATTTTTCTTATCCATTTTTTTTATTTTTCAAGATTTGTTATTTTTGTATATTATGCTTTATAGAGAGACCCTACCACTGGACAGCCTGCTCCCCCAGATCAGGTTTGGGAGATAACACGTACTAGGAAGACCGCAGATGGCTAGTTAGAGTAGGTGGATCCCCGATCTGAAGAGATTCATGTATACATAATATTTGTCCTTTATATTTAATTAAATAATTATATTTTTTCATTAATGTAATTTGTAATTTGTAACTATAGGATCGCATGCATGAGCTCGTTCAGCAGTAATCCTTAGAGAGTGATGCTCGAATGACCTCTGATGAGATATTAACAACTGCTCTTGGTGAGAGGTCAGGATATGTTAGAGGAAAAGGTTATGGAGCAGAGCCTTGAAGGAAGAGACTTCACACTCAATCTAGTGATTCACTTGAGAACGTACGCACCCAATTGTATGAAGAGTTTGAAAGAAGATTTCAGGAGGAGTGAGAAAAGATGGAAGCAAATCTTGCTGTAGAGCAAGAGAGGATGGAAGTAAAACGTGCCGTAGAGCGAGAGAGGATGGAAGCAGAACGTGCAGCAAAGCGAGCAAAGATGGAAGCAGAGCGTACACAACTTGAACAAAGGATGGAGCAATTGATGGAACAGAGAATACAAGCTCAGCTCACTACTTTCATGCAAAAGATGCAGTTAAATGCTCCTGCAGATACCCCTACTTCTAGCGTCCCTAGTATTGGTCCCTCTACGTAATTTTTCTTTTGCATTATGTAATGTATCTTTTAATTGAACAATTTTTTTTAGTTAAAGACATAAAAACACTTTGATGGTTATAAATCTTATTATTTAATACACTATATTTGTGTGTTAATTACTTTATTTTTATTAAACCTTTTGATAATATTTATCAAGAATATAAATAAAATTTTTTGCATAATTAATATATTATAAAAATAATTAAAATAAAAAAAAGGTAATCAGCGGTGACATTATGGTCGCCGCTGAAAATATAATCAGCAGCGACATTTAAGTTGTCGCTGAAACAGGCTTCAGCGGCGACATTAGTCGCCGCCGATTCTTATGTTTTAGTGGCGACCTATCTGGGTGGCAAACTCATCACCTTTCAGCGGCGACAAAAAGTCGCCGCTGATAAGTTTCAGCCACGGCCGCTACGGCAACGACCTAGTGGTGACAGAATGTCACCGCTGAAGCTTTTCAGCGGTGACTTTTGGACTTTCAGCGGCGATATTTGTCGCCGCTGAAAGTCAAATTTTTTGTAGTGCATGCTTTAAAACATTTTTGAAAGGATTAAGTATAGAACATAACGCTAGTTGTTAACAGTAGGAGCATCAATACTTAAGATATAACTAGATTATTTGTGACCATAATACTCACATTTGATATTTATAGGCATCATTCTCACACTTGTTTTTATGACTGGGTTACGTTTATCACTATGAGATATATGTGCCCATGCTTGCTTTCATAGTTCACACTTGATTGATCTTGTATCCTCATGGATTGTGTGTCCATGCTTGTTGCAATCCATTATACATGCAATTAAAATCCTACCTGAAAAATGAGTTTTTCAATTTTTATGAATCGATTTTTATAAACAACTTGTTACATTTATTTAAGTTTGTTCATTTAATAATCTTTTTATATAATTTCATTTGTTTTCATGATTGTTCACTTTAGAAGTTGAACATAATTTTCATGTCTTTAGTATACAAACTCATATATCTGCTAAATTTATTTCTTTTGGTATTTCATTAATTTCTAAACAAGATATTATTCATTAGAAAATATTTTTGGCCTCAAATACTGTAGCTAACCCAACACCTCCGGCAAATAATCAATACGGGGCTGTATTATATATTGTTAAGTCAAAAGCTTGTTGATTCGTTATGGACAACTTCTAATCAATATTGTAAGTTTAAACTTATGTATTTAGTTTTGTAATTATTAGGTGCTCCATGTAGGCTAGATGTGTATATAGTATTCGTTCTTGTGAATATATTGTGGTTATTAGTTGGCATGGAGGGCTCCTCTTGACTATACCGTACTGTGTAGTTGCTAGAATTTTTGAAAGGTCCCGCTTTCACAGGAAATTCTATCAAAATTTCCACCGGAAGCTTGTAAATTTTGTTAAAACAAATGTATCCAAAAAGTTTATGTTTTAATACAGACTATAAACAATAATGAGAAATTCTATATATTCTAAGTTCAAGGTATTTAAGTGTTTTCTATAATGAGCTGATTTTCCTTAATCTTAATATAATTAACTGGGAAGCATAATTGAGATTTTCCCCCAATTATGAAAGATAGTTTGTAATGTTAACTATGAAAAATTGTCAATACGAAAGCGTAATGTTTTTAGTAAGCATAATAGAGTTTCGGCGGCTTGCCGGTGTGACAGGGGGACTTAAGATTTTTTTTTTTTAAGTTCATAAAGGTAATATGATCATTCTATCAAATTATAAAATTCCCATTTGGTCGTTCGTAACTAAAAGGAAGTTTCTTCTCTTCAAGTGACTTTTTGGGATTTCCAAATCCAAAACAATAATTTTTCTGTCATTTTCCCATATAAAAATTAAAACAAGCCAAAACAATCTTAAAAGCAAAATACTATGCTGTAAATGGATATATTATTCAAATTCAGATTACATCGGACAAACATAGCATAATATAAAACTTCATTTATTCATAGCACATTATTACACAGTAACATAATATTGTAAGGTAGGTATAGGTATTATTGTATGGTAATATATTATGGTATGATCAGAAATGATAAGATGGGAATGACCATTGAGATGTAAATATGCTTCATGGGATATTTGACTTTGTGTTTGGTAGATCATAGACAAAGGAGGACTAGTGCATAATGAAAGAAAGTGATATATAGTGAAACTAAGGTTTAGAGCATACATATAGAACTGGGTGATGTTGGATTTGATCAGAGGCAAATTCGATGGCCAAAAATTGTGATGCATATTATGTGTTGGGAAGGTGGAGGTGGAGCATTTAGTGGAGGGGGTTTAGGTGTTGATGGAGGAGGTGGTGATGAAATTCTTGGGCTAGGTGGTGGAGGTGTGGATGTTGATGGGGGAGGCGGCGTACTTTTAGGGATTGGTGGAGATGATGGACTTTGCAGTGAAGGAGATGGTGATAGTGATGGGCTTGATTTAATTGGTGGAGAACGATTGCTCGGAGAAAGTAATGAGGAAGGAGAAGGAGATAAAGGTAACAATTGAGAAGGACGAGGTGCAAATATAGTTGGTTTTGGTGAAGGTGAAGGAGAAGGAGAAGGAGATGGTGTTTGCGAAGAACTGGGACGTAAGGAATTTATGGCAAATGATGGTGAAGGGGAAGGAGGAAAAGATGATGATATGGAAGGACGCAGGGCTACAATTGGCATTGAGGGTGAAGGAGAAGGAGATAATTGAGTTTTTGTTGAAGGCGATGGTGAAGGAGATGGACTTGGTGATGAACTCGAAGGTGGGGAGTTATTATTAGCATTTAAAGGTGAAGGCGAAGGGAGAACAAGTGGTTTAGAGGCTGATAAGGGAGAAGGAGATGGGGTTTGTGATAAAGAAAGATGAGGTGAAGCGCCAATTGAATTTGAAGGAGTTGGTGAAGGAGAAACTGATGATACAAAAGGAGGAGGTGTGTTGCCAAACGATTTTGGTGGCAAAGGATATGGTGGTAATGTAGTAGGAGAGAAAGACTGTGGTGAAGAAAGCGATGGAGATGGAGAATGTAAAGGTGGCGACCTAGGTGATAAAATATTTGGCGGTGTTAGTAGTGAAGGCGGTGGTGGCGGTGAGCGGTTATTAGGTCGCGTAGGACGGGAAGGAGTTTGTAGGGGTGGTGGCCGGGGGTTATTAGGCTGCATAGGACGAGAGGGAGTTCGTGGGGGTGGTGGCCGGGGGTTATTAGGCTGCGTAGGACGAGAGGGAGTTCGTGGGGGTGGTGGCGGGGGGTTATTAGGTCGTGTAGGACGAGAGGGAGTTCGTGGCCGAGGCGGTGGCAGGGTCCGCTGTGGTTGTGGGTGTTGTTCCTGAGCAATCACCCCGCTTACTATAAAGCATAATAAGATGACGTAACAACATAGAGGCAAAGACCTCGCCATTTTAGATCCTTCGATCATATTATGCAAAATGCTTTGTTCTGGAAGAGTAGCACAACAAACCCTTTTATACCTGTGCTTGGCCCTACAGGACAAAACAGTTAGGCATTGCAAATTTCCGCAAGTAAATTTAACATTAATGTTTTATTTTATTTTTCTTCTATCATTAAGTGTATATACTTCTCTTGGTCAAGAAATGGACCGTATGTGAGGGAATAAACATCTCTTAGCCCAGCTGGATACATATGCCTCATAAATGAATATTGTATTTATGTATAAACAGTATTTTTCTGACTAATTAAGTAATGAGTTGTACTAACGGCTAACGAATAGTATGCACATCGTAAAAATAGTTCAAGAACGTTTACTTTGGAGGCTTTCTTAAGAAGTAAACATACATTCGATGACAAAAAGTTTGATTCAATTAAGTCGGTTAAACATGGATGACATATATATAATAATATCATTTTGCTTTTTATATGTTAATGAAATAAGAAATACTTTATAATTAAAATAAAAATTTCAGTGCCTTTACGTGCGTATCATGTAGTCTTATTAGATTAATGTACATTTTGACGGCATAATCTCATAATATACTACATTTAATTCTTAATATAAGATCCGGTTGACTAATTTGAAGAGATTAACAAAGTTAAAGAATAACTTAATTATAACATATGTTATAAGATCTCTTTAAAATAATTATGTGTATCATTAAAAATAAATATATATTTTTTATTTAACTTTTTGTAATCCTTATAAATTAGTTGATTGTGTCTTATATTAAGAATCAGACATATTATATAATTACATACAATTGACAAGTGTTGCCTGGGATATGTTACTAATTAAAAGAGCTATCATAAAAAACATAAAGTAATATAGTTATATTAATATTATTATCCAATATTTGATTTTAACTTGAAATAATTCAGGGTCATATTAATCAATCACTCAAATTAATAATTAAACAAAGCTAACAAAATCATATGGTCCGAAAAGTAAGTTTAGGTATGGCTTTCACTGCCAATTTATAGATTACTAGATAATAGAAGGTAGATTTTGACTAACAAGTTGTTGGTTGATATAATAAATAATCTCACTTCTGTAAATAGAATATTACAAGTTCAAATCCAAAAAAGGCACACATGTTAGGAAGACTTTAACTTTAACACTCTCAATTTGATAGAAATTAATCTCGAGTCTAAAGTAACTTAACATAATTTGAGTTACCCAAAAAAAGAAAAAGAAAGAAAGAAAGAAAGTAGATTTCGAACTAATAATGTCCATATTCTGCGGCTTAATGTCCTTTATTTTAATATCAAACAACGTATAAGGGAATCAAGATCGTTCCCCAAATAACTAAAATTAAAGAGATTAGGCACAAACTAAATTCCATTTCATCTTAATTAAACTAATCAATTTACGAGTGAATTGTCAAAAGAAGCACATTCAAGTGCAATTAAAAGCAATGAGATTAAAAGATTAACTCACAGGGAAGGCAAGCAATTAAGTGACGCTCTAAGAATTATAATCCCCTTTACACTTTGCGATTCAATTTCTCCTGGTTATTGAGCTTAATTTAAACTTTAGAATCAAGGCTATTACTTAGATATAAGTGTCTTTAAATGCACCTATACGCATATTCTAACTTCATTCTATGATGCCTTATATGAAAATTTGAGATTCAAATAAGCACATACAAGCTTTATCATGATGACTTAGGGCCCTTTAGCATCATTCTATCTCACAAAATGGAAAAATTGAAAAACTATAATCCTTAAAGCTGCTTGACCAAATTTCTAAATGCAATTCCCTTCTTCCAAAGGCAAACTGCAACACCCAAATCATACACTAGAGTTGGCCATCCACTAGTATGGAAAAGTGAATTCAAATTAAGCAAGCATCATCGCATTAAAAAAAGCAATAACTAATGAGAAACTTACACTACCAAGAAAACATCCAATTACTAATAGAATTACCGATAAAAAAAATTCTATCGATAATTTCTAACAGAAATTGTGTCAGTAAATTTACTGACAGAATTTGTCATGGATTTCTGATGAAAATTACCAACTAAATTTTTTTCGTGGCTAATTTCATCAAAAAATTAATTTACATACGGAATTAGCCATGAATTTTATAGATGAAATTAATCCTATTGGTAATCCATTGGTATTTAAAAGTTTTGAAATTTTGATTTTTATTATAAGATGATAATAATTTATTTCATACTCCCTCCATCTCTTTTTATGAGTAACCTTGGACTCCATTACATAGATAAAAAAAAAAAAGAAGATAATAAATGGGTAGAAATTGAAAGTTCTTTCTACAAAATATCCTTATTTATGGGGGGAGAGTATAAGAAAGAGGATAAGAAAATTAGTATAATAAAGAAAATTCTAAAAGAGAGAATATAGGATGGAGAGAGATGATGGTTTCAAAAATGAGATGATAAATATATTGAGCATTAAAATAAGTAATTAATGGGGTAAACTCGGAAATTTGCTATAAAATTTTTTAAACAAGTTGTAAATATTGCTTATATTTAGGGACAAAAAGGGAATGATAATTATCGCTTATAAGAAGAGACATAGAGAGTACTAAATTTACTAGCAGTTTTTAACAACCACTGCAAAAAGGTGTTAAAAACCACTACAAATACGTGTTAGAGGTCTCAGAAAAGTACAATATTTGAAATGATTCTCTTTTAAATTTGTATATGAATCGCCACAAATGTAGCTCTAGAGTTTTTTCCTTTTTAATTTGCAGCAATTTCTATAACAGGTACGAATGCAATGAATTATTATTATTTTCTAACTAATTTTATTTTTATTTATCAGGTATTGAAAAAATTGTTATATCATTAAATATTTAGAAAATATTGTTAAAATTTTATTTGTATTTGTCCACTTTGTTACTTATTTATGTAATAAAATTATAATTTAATTATTTAAATACGTTTTGCTTAAAAAACTATTTAAGTGTGTGAAATTCTTTTTCAAATAGATATTTATATAAAGGAGTAGTAAAAATGTTTAATAAATAGAAAGAGAAAGGATTCTCTTGTGGTATCAGTGGTATAAGTCTACAGAAAAAAAAGTTACAACAATATGTGTATGAAATAAATGTAAATAAGGATGAAAATGAAAAAGGAAAAAAAAAAAAACTAACTCTAGGGAAGCATTGAGGCTAAATAGAGTGTAGAATGAGAAGAGAAGAGACGGAGGAGAAAGATGAAAATGGAGAAGAGCATAAGAGAAATAGGGAAAGGGATATTTATAGTAACTATGCGACACGCCTACTAATATCTGCAAATGCGAAAATCGCAGTTCTATCATTTTGAGTTTCATAAAATTTTAGTACAATTTAATATATAAACTCAAGAAATAAGGGAAGGGGGTATTTATAATATGCACAAATCACATAGATGCAAATGTGTTGCGAATTTGTAGTGATTCTATTAGAACTACTAGAAAATTGAGTTGTTTTTCATTAGCAATGGTTTTTTTTCCCTTGAACCACTACTAACATCCCCAACTTCTCCTGCCATGTCGTGCTAACTTACTACAAAAAAAGACTTTAGGTGATAACTTTCGGGCTGAAAGTCCACTTTTAGTGGTGCCACTAAAAAGTCATCACTAAAAGTAAGACTTTTAGCGGCAACATTGGCAACAAAAATGTCACCGCTGAAAGTAGACTTTCAGCTGCGACTTATTGTGTCGCCATTGAATATATGACCTTCAGTGGTGATGTAATCACTGAAGGGTTCACTTTTAGCGGCAACCTTCTAATATTGCTGCTGAAAGTGTAATATAATAATATATATTTTATTTTACAATAGTAATAAACAAATTCAATCCAACTCAACGACAAGAAGATTATACATGAAAAGAGGTGGTCACGAGTTTGAACCTTGAAAAAGATACATTTAAGGTGAAAATATTTGGGCGGTGACGTGGCAAGGAGGAGTGATATGACAATGATGTGGAGGTGGGTAGTGATGACATGGTACCCGGTTTGTGATGAGGTTGGGCCTCAGTGGTGATGATGTGACACCTTGCGGTGATGATGTGGCATCGATAAAGCCAATTCTTCTTGGGCATCATTTTAGCGGCAACTTTT